ACATCTCTGATAACACGCTTACCTCTTCCTTTCCTCCGCCTTCCATTCCTCTCTACAATTCTTGTCTCCCAGTCTCTCTGTCTCTCAGTTATCTGTCCGCTTCTCTTCCTACTCTTCCCTTCATTCTACATCCATTTTCCCTTCTTTTATCAAAGGATTTTCCTACACGGGTGTGTCCCCGTGTCCTGGTGTGTGTCCCCGTGTCCTGGTGTAGGTCCCCGTGTCCTGGTGTGTGTGTCCCGTATCCTGGTGTGTGTCCCCGTGTCCTGGTGTGTATGCCCCTGTGTCCAGATGTAGGTCCCCGTGTCCTAGTGTAGGTCCCCGTGTCCTGGTGTGTGTGTCCCCGTGTCCTGGTGTAGGTCACCGTGTCCTGGTATGTGTCCCCGTATCCTGGTGTGGGTCCCCGTGTCTTGGAGTGTGTCCCCGTGCCCTGCTGTAGGTCCCCGTGTCCTGGTGTGGGTCCCCGTGTCCTGGTGTGTGTGTCCCCGTGTCCTGGTGTGGGTCCCCGTGTCCTGGTGTGTGTGTCCCCGTGTCCTCAGGTGTCTCTACGATCAACAAGGAATTTCCTCATACATTTCCAATGTTCACCACAGAGAGCTTACTCTGATGGTGTACTGGAATATACATTGAGAGATACATGTATATACCTTTCGGTGTATATACAGAGACGCACACACCTCTCAATGTATATACATTAAGATACACACCTGCCAGTATATGTTACATAGACTCACACATTTCTCAATGTATATACAGTGATATATACACCTGCCAGTATATTTCACAAAGACACACACACACCTCACTGTACATACACTAAGATACACACCTGCCAGTATATTTTACAGAGATACACACACCTCTCAATATATATACACTGAGATACACACCTGCCAGTATATTTTACAGAGATACACACACCTCTCAATATATATACACTGAGATACACACCTGCCAGTATATTTTACAGAGATACACACACCTCTCAATATATATACACTGAGATACACACCTGCCAGTACATTTTACAGAGATACACACACCTCTCAATATATATACACTGAGATACACACCTGCCAGTATATTTTACAGAGATACACACACACCTCACTGTACATACACTAAGATACACACCTGCCAGTATATTTTACAGAGATACACACACCTCTCAATATATATACACTAAGATACACACCTGCCAGTATATTTTACAGAGATACACACACCTCTCAATATATATACAGAGAGACATACACACCTGTGAGTGTAAATACAGCAGAATACTTCAGGTGTGAGTCTGCTATTAGTATTCAGGTCACTGTGTCGACAAAATATTTCCCAGGTGACGCTTTGTACTGTATTTGTTTTTTGTTCGCTGCCTAAAAATATTTTTCAAGAAGAGCAAAAAATTGTGAATATATTTTTTTTATATTTTGTGTTCTATTTAATTGATCAATATAATGTTAGTGTGTGTAATTTATTTTGGCACCGTCAATAATATATATATATATATATATATATATATATATATATATATATATATATATATATATATATATTATATATATATATATATTATATATATATATATATATATATATATATATATATATATATATATATATATATATATATATATATATATATATATATATATATATATATATATATATATATATATAAACACACCAGTCGTCTCCCACCGAAATAGGGTGACAAAAAAGACGAAGCGTATTTACCATTATTCATTCAATCACTGTTTTGCCAGAAGTGTACTGACATCATAGCTCAGATGACCCCCTGAACTGTAACATCCTCAGGCAGCCTTCAGAGTGCAGACACTGTACTTCCCACCTCAACAACCGCTCCTCAACCCTCTCAATAATACTTCTGGTAACTCCACACAGTCATCTACTCGCCAGGCTCCGAATACTCTACATAATATTTAAACCACACATTGCCCTCAAACATGACGTCTTCACTGCCTCCAACCTCCTCTTCACACCCAGATAGCAGTGTTGGTGCCACTGTACTCTGGTACGTTGCCCCTTTGCTTCCATAAATAACGTTCCTTGTCTCCGCATATGCCTCAATACACCTTTCACCTTTTTCCCCTCCGTCAATTCAGTGGTTCACCTCGTCTTTCAAAGACCAATCTGCTTACACGTCCACTTCTTATACCCGTGTAATACCTGCGACCTATTTACAGAACTTTTCTACCCTTGCAGCTCTTCTCGAGGTCAGACTTTTCTGCAGATAGCTTGTTCAAACAGAGGTGTCCAGGAGTTGGATTACATGAGCACTCAGCTTACACACTGAGGTCCGTGATTCGATCCCCAATAAGAGTGGAAACATTAGGACGTGTTTCCGTAAGACACCTGCTGTCCTTGTTCACCTAGCAGTTAATTAGGTACCTAGATGTTAGTCGACTGGTGTTGGTCGGATCCTAGGGACAAAATTTACCTAATTTATCCGAAATGCTCTGCTGTTGACTGCCCTCTGGCCTTTCCCCCAATCTGTTATCCAATCTTTCCCTCCCTAATCTTCCCGTAATCACCTTTCTTTTCCGTATTCACTTTAATTTGCCTTTTTAAACACACTTTCCAGTGACTTACGAAGTGCAATATAAAGTAGAAAATAATTTAAGTAAATTCTTAAACTAAAATCGTAGTCGAGAGGCTAATTAAAATTTCACGCACATTACGTTTATTTTACGTAAACTTTACGTCACTCTTTTTGAAAAAAAAAAAAAATAGAGAGAGAGCCAATTTCGCATATTATTTTCGAATACATATTTTTTTTTTTGTTTTTTGAATAAGTTAAAAAAAATCTGCCAGAGACCACAAAATGTTATTTTTATTTTCTGTTTTTTTCTAGACTATTGTTAACAGACTATTATTATTATTATTAACACATCGGCCGCTTCCCACCAAGGCGGCGTGACCCGAAAAAGAAGAAAAACTGTCTTGCCAGAAATGTGCCGACACTACAGTTTTTAAACTGCAACATTAACACCCGTCCTTCAGAGTGCAGACACTGTACTTCCCATCTCCAGGACTCTAAGTCCGGTTTGCCGGTGTCCCTAAATCCCTTCATAAATGTTACTTTGCTCACACTCCAACAGCACGTCAAGTCCTAAAAACCATTTGTATCCATTCATTTCTATATAACACGCTCACGCACGCTTGCTGGAAGTCCAAGCCTCTCGCACGCAGAACCTCCTTTACCTTTCTCCCTCCAACCTTTCCTAGGCCGACCCCTACCCCGCCTTCTTTCCACTACAGATTTAAAAGCCCTTCAAATCATTCTAGTTTGTTCCATCCTCTCTAAATGTCCAAACCTCCTCAGCCCTCAGGATAATACTTTTAGAAACCCCGCACCGTAATTAAACGTCTGAACAAAGTCTAAAGTATATATCGTCTTTAATCAGACTTGTAGGTAGGGTAATGTTTGCCAAGAAAGAGGACAAGCATTTCCAGACCAGTCTCAATCATATGACCCGCCGTAGGAGCTTTTGGTCATCTGATCGAGGCCTTCCACCGGCTTACAACTCCAACCCTTTAAAAATTAATTAAATATATCATACGTAAACAAAAAGAGAAGCAAAACCTTCCTCAAAAAAGAACAAGAAGTCAAAATACCGTGACTGGAACAATACACAAATAACCCAGAGAGGAAAGCTTAAAACGACTTTTGGGTCCGACTCGGACCATTAACAATGTCACACTAACACAAGAGAGCGAGGGAACCAGTATATATAGGCGAGAGAGGGACAGGGAAGGGACCAAGAGAGGAAGAAGAAGTAGAAGAGAAGTAGAAAAGAATTAGACTTACGAACGGTCTGAAGTGAATATTTTCTTTAAATACTTTAATCAGACTTATGAATAAAATCTAAAGCAAATGAAATCTAAGTCAGTTTTATTAATAAAGTCTTATTTTAATACTTCCGTAAATAAGACTTATTAATGAAGTCTAAAGTTTATTTTTCCCTAACTACGACATGAATAAAGTCTAATGTTAATATTTCCCTAAATAAGACTTATTAATAACGTCTATAGTTAATATTTCCCTAAAATCATATTTATTAATAAAGCCTAAAGTCAATATTTTTCTTAAATCACGTGAATCTGACTTCACTACAAGTCTAAATCAATAAGAGTGGACGTAACCTTAGCCAGAATGAGAAATAATGGTTCATATTCATATTCAGAGAGCTTCCTAATTTCTCATTTGCATTCTCATCACTGCAGACCAGTTACAGTTGTGAGATTATGTAGATGTATGTAAGTAGGTGTGAGATGTGTGAAAGTAGGTGTGAGAAGTGTGTAAGTAGGAGAGAGATGTGTATAATGGTTGTGAGATGTGTTTAAGAGTGTGAGAGGACATGTAAGTAGGTGTGAGAGGCATGTAAGGTGTGAGAGACATGTAAGTAGGTGTGAGAGGCATGTAAGGTGTGAGAGGCATGTAAGTAGGTGTGAGAGGCATGTAAGGTGTGAGTGGCGTGTAAGTAGGCGTGAGAGGCGTGTAAGGTGTGAGAGACATGTAAGCAGGTGTTGGAGTAGGTACTCGTCATGGTGTAGATACGTATCAAGTGATATTTATAACTGTGGGATCTGTTGCTTCATTAGTTAGCTAGGTAATTAATTAGTTCGTTCATAAGTTAGTTAGATGGTTAGCTGGCTCATTAGTTTAAGTTTAATAATAATAATAATAATAATAATAATAATAATAATAAATAATAATAATAATAATAATAATAATATAATAATAAATAATAATAATAATAATAATTAATAATAATAATAATAATAATAATAATAATAATAATAATAATATAACTGACTTAATTAAACATACACAAAATATAAAATACAATAATCATACACAAACAACAACAACATCAATCATTCACAAAATACAATATATAATTTGCTCTCAAAAATTACAGGTGTTTAAATAAAAAATAATGAATTGGGGGGAGGAGAAATAAATGAGAGGAATAAAAATTTGCATTTTAATTAAGCCTCAAAAATTTCAATAGCGGTAATATGTTGGGATATTACATTTAAAAGTAATATTTTGAATTACTTTCTTTAGGTATTTCCTTTTCTTTTATTTAAAATTTGCTTAATTTTTATTATTTTTATTTTTTTCTATGTATAATATATTTTTAAGTCACCACTCTGGTCATAAATGTCTTGAGGCATTTGTGGCCGAGTGGTGGAGAGCGTCACTTGAGGCATTTGTGGCCGAGTGGTGGAGAGCGTCACTTGTGGCCGAGTGGTGTAGACCGTCACTTGGGGAACCTTGCCGGTCTCCCTGTAAGATAAGATAAGATAAGATAAGATTTCGTTCGGATTTTTAACCCCGGAGGGTTAGCCACCCAGGATAACCCAAGAAAGTCAGTGCGTCATCGAGGACTGTCTAACTTATTTCCATTGGGGTCCTCAATCTTGTCCCCCAGGATGCGACCCACACCAGTCGACTAACGCCCAGGTACCTATTTACTGCTAGGTGAACAGGACAACAGGTGTAAGGAAACGTGTCCACCCGCCGGGAATCCAACCCGGGCCCTCCGTGTGTGAAGCGGGAGCTTTAGCCACCAGGCCACCGGGCCACCATGTAGTGGGTATATATATATATATATATATATATATATATATATATATATATATATATATATATATATATATATAATATTATATATATATATATATATATTATATATATATATATATATATATATATATATATATATATATATATTATATTACACAGAGGGGTATATAACACTGATAGTATATAACCTGAGTTTAAGGTAATCTATGCTTCACTTTGTATTTGTTCCGAAGAGTATATCTGTCATGAGGTGTATGTACTGAAAGCAGCAGTACATATACACCGAGAGGCGTATGTCTCTTTATATATATATACACTGAGCTTACTTTAATCACTAAGATATTAAATTATTTTTGGCTGGTGGTGAACAGGTGACATGCAACCTTAAATGACCGTCGTGTAGTAGATATGCTTCAAACTTATCAGACCGAATTCAAAAATGCCTCGTGAGAATGATGACTAAGTAGCAGACGCAGCTAAGAATGTTGGGAATGACAGTGGTGTCCTGTATCTTAATCAAGAGAGAAGAACGATGCCTCTTCCCACAGGTGACTCTTTTAAAGAGATAATTGTGTGAGATGGAGGCTCTATTCTCCGTCTGGAGAAGGGGGGTTGAGTCACATACTCTCAATGAGTAGTGATGGCAGTAACTCAAGAGGGAAATGCTAGCAGGGAAGAAAGGGTCATAATTACGGTAATTTTATGCAGTTCCGTATTGCCATGCCAATACTCGGAGGAGATCGTGACACTTATGGTGCAAGAGTAAGAGAAAGACTGAAAAAGCGAGAGAAGTAAGTTCAACAGTTATGGGACAAATGTTGTACTTAATACAGTGTGTGTGGGGGTGGGGGGGGGGGGGAGTTACATTCGTAGCAGAGAGAGAGAGAAGACGAGGGAGACCTAGAGAGAGTAAGAGTAAGTTGCTTCTAGCGAGGTCAGCCTGGAGATATATATTTATAATACGACTATTCTTTTTCATTCTCTGCAGCATTTTCTTTATGATATTCCTCTCTCAGAAACATTTCCTATTCAAGTTTTTTCTAATATTTTTCACTTAGAATATAATTTAGAATAATTATCACAGAATATTTATAATTTAAAATGCTTCTTCAGAGTGCATAAAGACTGATTATTTTCTTGTATTTATATCTTGCAATATAATATAAATATATATATATATATATAAAATATATATATATTATATAAAAATATATATATATATATATATATATATATATAATATTATAATATATATATATATATATAATATATATATGGTGTGTGTGTGTGTGTGTATAGCATATGGTGTCTATTTCCAAAATACGTCTTTAGTGCACGTATATAAAAGGGTCATCTTGGTAATGCTCGTAAGTTCATATCATCCTAACAGATATCGACAGGAAATCGATATATTTCCTGATATAATTTCCTCGTTGCTTTATCAGTGGGGAGATATAACGCTTCAGTGGAACCCAGAGGCGACACCTTATTTTGTGAGAGAGAGAGAGAGAGAGAGAGAGAGAGGAGAGAGAGAGAGAGAGAGAGAGAGAGGAGAGAGAAGAGAAGAGAGAGAGAGAGAGAGAGAGAGTCCTTCGCATCCATGGATTGATGCGAAGGACTGTTTGTTGCTGATTGATGCTGCTATTAATCCATACAGATACTGATGACAGGAAAGCCTATAGAGCTTATAAAACACATCAAAAGCTCTCATGCTATCTTTCTCTCTCATTTGATGAAGCTCTACAAAGAGCAAAAAGTGACTTGACACAGCCAAACCTACCTTAATAAATCTGCACAGAGCGAAACGTGTGTGGCATGCAAAGAGTACGTAACCTTTATTCGGCGCACGTACACACCCTCATTGATAGGCTATCTCCCCCAACGAACGAACCAGGTACTAAGGGTTGATGATGGGGCCCAGTCGTTCAATCAGTACCCAGGTTCCAGCCAATGAGAAGATGGTTTTGGCAATCGCAGAGGTGATGTGGGTACCACTCACCTGTCTGCCCTTGTTATTCCCATTCTAGAGCTGGTTGAAGCACGGTCTGCTCTCTAGTGGCTTCTATTCTGCCTTGCTTACCGTGGAGTGCACTAATACCTATCACTGTACATAGTGTATATAGTGTACATACTTCTGTTCTAAACTGATGAAGGATAATACAAGTCAATTTTTTTCTGCTGTGTTTATTTTCCTCCCTTTACACCCAGGATAACAGGCCTTTGGGACTCCTGGGTTGTAATAACGTGACTTGATAAAATCTCTAGACAGAGGAGGACGTGATTTAATAAAGCTCTACACAGAGTGAAGCGATTTATTACAGCTCTACACAGAGTGAAACGACTTAATATAGATGTACACAGAGTAAAATGACTTGATAAAGCTCTACACAGAATTAAATGACTTGATAAAGCTCCGCACAGAGTGAAATGACTTGATAAAGCTCCATACAGAGTGAAACGACTGGATAAAGCTTTACACAGAATGAAACGACTTGATAAAGCTCTACACAGAGTGAAACGACTGGATAAAGCTCTACACAGAGCGATACGTTGTCATAAAGAAGGCTAACTCTGCGTCTGTATCTCTTCTTAAATTCCATTATAAATTCTTTAAAAATATTATAAACACTGACGAATATTAGTACTTTGTGATAAATTTACAGTTGTAATGACGGATATCAGCTTTAAGTGAATATTACATTGTATGACGGAATTACACTGTAAATGATTATTCAGTTTATTGACGGATATTACAGCTGTAAGTAATATTACAGTTGTAATGACGGATATTACAGCTGTAAAGATGAATATTACAGTTGTAATGACGGATATTACAGCTGTAAAGATGAATATTACAGTTGTATTGACGGATATTACAGCTGTAAAGATGAATATTACAGTTGTATTGACGGATATAACAGCTGTAAAGATGAATATTACAGTTGTATTGACAAATATTAATTGTACTGATATATATTACAGTTATATTGACGAAGTTACATTTGTATTGACGAATATTTCTACTGTATTGACGAATATTTCGTTCAGAGAAGACTAACTGCCATGAATAAAATACGTTCCGAACAAGGGAAATTGGAGGTTTCAATGTATCTGCTAATTATGGTAATGTATAAAGCTTAATGACTGCAATATTTCATGAGGGCAACTCCCAGCTTGTGAAACGCGTGATTTAGATAGCCTAATACATATTAAAGTGGGAACTGCTGCTCATTTAATGTCGTTTGCAATTGATTAAATACAAAAAAAAATTTTGTTTTCATTCATATTTTTGAATTAAAAATATGTAAAACGCTAAGTAGGAATGTATATGTATAACTTATGCTTGTTTTGTCTGTAAAGTGAATGTTTTGATGTCTAACTTGGGCATATCGTTTTACGAATTAAAGTTGTTGTTTTTTGAGGGGGAGGGGGAAGGAATATGTTATCTTGTATGAGTAAGTTGTTAAGTTCTTCTAAAGTTGTGTGAGGATTACGTACAAGTTTTCCTGTTAGTTTAAAAGGGCTTAGTGTTGTTCGTAGCTCCTTGGTTTCAAGACTAGGAGCTAGGTTCACAGCCTAAGGTACTTGGATTTGATTCCCAGGCAGTGTGAGAAGTATGGAGAGGTTTCCTGAAAAAAATTCACAATATTCCCACGAATGATTTTTAGAAGCTTTATTTATAAACAAATGCCATGTATCATTAGTGAAAGTATCCAGTTACAGTACCTTTGGTTCAGGTCACAGCCCAGAGATCTTAAATCTGGCAGCGGTGCAATAGCTAAAAAACTACATGCAAGTAGCGCTAACATCACACTTCAAAAAACTTTGAAAATGTTATGAGACGCAAAATTATTGACTTAGTGGAGAAACGAGCTACACAACCCACGTATATGACTTTAGAACAGTAAGAGTCTCCTTCACAACTGCTAGATCAAAATTATGTTAGCTTCTAAAAGAAATAATGCATAGACATTGGACAAATACAATCATGAAGTAATTGCTCATGAGGTCACTGCCTATAAGAGGAAAAGTAGGAAAATGAATTTCCAAATTTCTAACAAACGGTTTAGAAAGATTGGTAGTAATAATACCTTGTAGTCTCAGTGAAGTCAGTGGTTCAGTACAATAAGGCAGAGACCTAGCACCATTACCCTTTCTCATCCTCACAGCACACATAGACATGAACAATATCCACAGCTTCGCATTATCTTTGAAAGACGGTACCGAGGGATGATACATAAGAACATAAGAATGGAGGAACACTGCAGCAGGCTTATTGGCCCATACAGGCAGGTCCTCAAAATCAACCATTACCACTAACCCACCCAATACAAGACACAGAAAATCTACGAACATATATCAACAAAGTTTTCCAATTTTCACGTGAGAATATAGCATGATATTCAATAGTGACAAATTTCAGCTTCTCAGGTATAAGAGGAATGAAGAGTTCAGAACGAGCACAGCATACAGACCGCAGGTAAACAATATGATAGAACGTTAGTAACACATGAACAACTTGGGAATAATTATGTCATAGGATCTCTCCTTTGTAAAACACAATACAGAGAAGACCAGAACATGACATTACGAGAACTTTCAAAACAATGCAGATGAAGTTACTGTTCAATCACTTGTGTTCTTACTACCTAAATATTGTTGTGTATTCACAACATCTTTCAAGACACAAGAGAGTGGAG